CTGTGCGGCTTTCTGCCCGGGGAAGGGGAGCGGGGGACGTCCGCAGCGTCCCCCGGGCGTCGCACACTGACGCTCCGGGAGGACACTGGTCTAGGTAGGGGGCTTTTTCCCTTTGCCATCTTTCCCCCCTCCTCCCCTTCAGCATCCTCGTCCTCGCTTTGTTTAAAGAGACTTCCAGGACTGGAATCGCTGTAGCAGCGTGGGGAGGACGGAGCTAACGGGGATCCCGGCATGAGCCGGGGAGGGCAGAAGGAATTGCCGACGAGACATCTCGCCAGAAGTCCCCGCAGGGCGAAGCGGCACAGAGCTTTAATCTCGAATGTGCTGAGCCCTCCGCCGCAGCGGGCGATTTTCTTAAACCTGCTTTAGGTTTAGTCCGTCTGCATGAGAGTGTGACATATGTTTTTGCCTTTTTCCCGGGGCTCGAGAGGGTGGGAAACAGATGCCCCTTGGCAGACGGGGCTGTACCGGGGAAGGCAGTCGCTTTTGCCATCTTACACATGGTTGCATTTTTTTTTTCCCCCTCTTTGCTTTTCTCACCAGGTGGTTTCAGCAAGTTCCAGGCCGAGTTCGCCCTGCACTGCGAAACTAACCTAGACAGTTCGTGTAGCAGCAGCTCTCCTCCTTTGCCGGTCCTGGGTTTGGGAGGCCTCCGAATCAGCTCCGATTCCTCATCAGACATTGAATCTGACATTGACAGAGACCCCAACAGTGCCACCGACTCCGATGGCAGCCCTCTCTCCAACAACCAGCCTTCTTTTCCGGTGGAGATTTTACCCTACCTCTATTTAGGCTGTGCCAAGGACTCCACTAATCTGGACGTTTTAGAAGAGTTTGGCATTAAATACATCTTGAATGTTACTCCCAACTTGCCTAATCTCTTTGAAAACGCTGGCGAATTCAAGTACAAACAGATCCCGATCTCTGACCACTGGAGCCAAAATCTGTCTCAGTTCTTTCCTGAGGCCATCTCTTTTATAGGTGAGATCCCGTTACTTGCTAACAGCTACGTGCCAAGCACCAGAATTCAATTTCTTTTGCATAATTCAGGAGATTTCGGGTGAGAAGTGGTAACAGCATTTTTGGCAGTCTCTAGAGGGTGCCCCCCTTTCTGGTTTTAAAGCTGGCTGAAGCTGAGGGGCGGGTTGGGACTGTTTGGGGGTTTTTGAGGAGCCCGGTGAATTGTAAGGGACGTTTGCAGGTTGCAAACACATACCTGGCTTGTCTGGCTTGGAATTCCCCCCTAAACCGTTTATTTCGGAGCTGGGGACTGAGCAATGTGGAAGAAGGGGGATCTTTGAAAATCTCTTCATGGCGGGTGGGAGGGAAGGTAAATGAGCCCAGAGTTGATTGCTTATTAGTCGTCTTTTTTTTTTTTTTCTTCCTTGAAGTTACTGAAAAGCAGTAACTGGGAGACTAACTTCAGCTTTTAAATACAAGTTACTCATAAGCGGTATCCCTGGCAAATGTATAGTCAAGAGCTTTAATTAAATCTTGTGGTAATAATGATATACCTCTCGGGCTCGGTTAGCCACCTGTTAGACATTATCAGTCAGCTTTGGAAACACTTTGCCCTATGCTCAAAGAGTTCTTGCTAAAATTTTTGCGTTCTCCTTAGTTTCGGGGAGGACTAAAATCACCCCACTGGGGTGCGGTGGGGTGGGCATCACATTATCTGTTGGGAAGCTGTGCTGTAATCCGGTTGAATGATACCGGTAATAGTGGAGAATGTAGGTAATCTGAGCCCAGCAGGAAGAAATGTGGGCTGGAAGCCACAAAGAAACTAATCTCCAGGCATTGTAATGCATTTCCTATTACAAAGGAACCCATTTTCAACCAATGTTGACATCCTGTTCCTCCTAATGGGCTGTCCCCTGTGACTTCCCTCATTCTTTTAAAATGCCTGAATACCTCCATTGTTAGCTGCACAACAGTTGGGGAATAATTTAATAGACCTTTGCAGTCTGCTGGTCTGTATAAAAAGCATTCAGTGACATACTGCAGGATTTCCATGCTGGGGCAACGGGACTGTAAGAATTTCAGGCAAATCTCCAGGCAAAAGTGTGTCTTTTAAAGCTGACTTTTGAAACAGTGTCGTTCAGTGTATCCTGCTCCCTTTGTCTCGTTCTTAGTTTTCTCAGCTCTTGGACTCGGGTACATGTACGTAGGGGGGTGGATTCTCCTCTTGTCCCGGTTTTAAGCCGGTGAAGTTAACTCTTGCATTGCACTGCTGGCCGCTGGGATCAGAATCGTCCTTTCTTCCTACTTGATGCTAATCTAGCTTGTGTTGAGAGATCAGTTACCAACCCCCGTTTTATGTGTCCTTCTCTGCCTCTTTGTCTCTATACAGATGAAGCACGGGGGAAGAACTGCGGCGTCTTGGTGCATTGCTTAGCAGGGATCAGCCGCTCGGTAACGGTGACGGTGGCCTACCTCATGCAGAAGCTCAACTTGTCTATGAATGATGCCTACGATATCGTCAAGATGAAGAAGTCCAACATTTCGCCCAACTTCAACTTCATGGGTCAGCTGCTGGACTTTGAGCGGACTCTGGGGCTGAGCAGCCCCTGTGACAATCGAGTGCCGAACCAGCAGCTGTATTTCACCACCCCTTCCAACCAGAACGTCTTCCAGGTGGATTCCCTGCAGTCCACGTGAGCTCCTGCTGCCTCCCTTCTCCTGTCCGTTTTCACGGGATCACTCCTCAATGGTTTCTCTTTGCCAGTGATAAAAGAAAACGCAGCTTTCTCTTTTTTCTGGCTTCTGCTATCACAAAGCAGCTGTGCCAGTGCAGGCTAGGAAAGGTTACACAGTTTGGAATCGGCTATCGCGAAGGGAGGGAACGTGGTGACCAGGCAGCAGGTGGGCAGAGACCGCTCATCCCTGCCTGCGCGGCGGCTTGAGTCTGAGGACTTCCAGGGGAGTAGGGTCGGGCTGGACAGGCAGAACACGTGTGCTCCCTAGAGACTTGAACTGTCCTGCTTCCCCCCTCTGCTTTCGGATCTGTGACACACATCTTTGTCTTCAGTGAAGACTGGTTATTTTTGTTTGTTTGTTTTGATTTAGAGGAGCCAAAGAAAGAAATTTCAGCTTAGTGTATTTGGAGTACTTGTTTGCCGGGAGGTCGGTAGTATTCTACTTGATCAATGTAAATATTTAATCTTAAATCGATTTGCAATTTTTTTTGAATTCACATGTATTCAAGAAATCAATCCAAGGGACATCTGTGTTTTTGTTCTCTTCATAAATTCTGCTTTATTTACTTGTTTTGTTGGGTTTTTTTTAATTGCAAAGAATATATTTGCAGCATGCTTAATTTTATTGTTCAACTGAAGCAAGCTTTCCATGAGGGAGAAATGGCAATGGTGAGGAGTTTGCAAATCATGTGTTGTGAGCAAGTACAGTCTCTTTTTTCATATATCTTTTACTTGTGGTGACTTTTTTCTTTTTTCTCTCACGCTTTTGATGTAGTTTCCACACAATATATATATTTTTTAAATTAAATTAATTTTTTGCCTTATCTTTTGTAAATAGGTCATCTGGGAGGAGGTTTGTCTTTGAATGCGAAAGATTTTTGATCACTTTTTAAAACTTTCAGATGTGCTAAACAGTGCATTACCTCTGTACAAATTCTTCAGGGAGCTTCACCTCAAATGCAATATTTTATGTCTTTTTTTTTTCCTTTTTTTTTTCTTTTTTGTATAAAACTGGAAGTATGTGCGAGCATTTGTACCTGTGTGTACGCACAGTGAACCTGCACATGGTTGCCAATAAGGGAGAGTCTAATTCATGGTGTAAAAGTTTTAAGATGGAATTTATTATAAGAATGTAAAACCTTAAATTATTAATAAATAAATAACTATTTTTGGCTATTGAGAACCTGGCTGGTTTATTCCCCCTTTCCTCTCTGTGTGGGTGTGGTTAATTGCACGTACACATATGGTTATGTTTAAAGGTAATGATTGCTTTCAATAGCTTTTGTACAGCCCCTAAGACAATAAAGCCTTGATTTCCCCTTTGGTCCGCTGGTGCCTAAATGAATAAACAGTGCATGTGCTAGTTTCTGGCCTTGCTTTGGTGAAGGGAATGCTTTTGAAGGCCTTCAGGTTAATTGCAAAATATTCTGGCAGCCCTTTGCTACCCCAGGGATGTACCTAACCCTGGGCCAAAAGGATACTTTTTTTTTTTTTTTCTCTGCAATAGAATGAGGAGTTGCTGTTTTCTGGGTTTGTTTACAAGTTTTGGCCACTCTATTACAGGTGCCAGCGGATGGGTTTGTGCTCTGCTTATCTCTCTGGCAGGAACTCATTTCACAGAGACCCATCAGCAGTCTGCAGCCTGGAAACGCTTTTTCTGTCGCTGTTCAGCCACATCGCAACTTCGCAGGTGAAGGCAAGGAGGAAAAGTCTGTATATACCCTTAGTCACCCCGCTTCCTCTTTGGAGCCTTCAAGTAGTCCTGTCTCTGCAGAAGGAAAAAGGGGGATTATAGCGATTGTGAAACGTCCCGCTGCAACTATTTTCATTAACATCCTTCCTGAGGCGAAGTGGCTCGAACTGGGGTGGTGCCACGGTCTGTGTGCAGTACCACGATGCTGGGCTGATGCTGCGGCTGGGGCTGTCGGCTGGGGTTCTGCAGAACTTCTGGCAGCCAGAGCACGTTTCAAGTAATTTTAGAAACTGCAAGTGTGTGAAATGAAAAGCAAACAAAACATGGGAAAAAAGTGAGTCAGTGTCTCATGCAGTAGTGGCCTAGATTGAGTGCATAAACTGTGAAAGTAGAAGTGGGTTGCAGTTAAACTTGGCTTGTGCTAATCCAGTTTTGAACGGTTTCCGCTCTTGGCATTCCCTGTGCTGCTCTGTTCAAAGTGGAGATTTGCAAGCAGCTCTAGCAATTTCCTGTCCAGCTGCAGCTCAAGTGACTCCGTTGGTTGTTTTTTTTTTTCTTCTTTTTTTTTTTTTTTTAATATGGTCTGTGGATAATTTTAGCCAGTTTCCTCTTTGTGGATTATTAATCTGCTTTCCTTGTAGAACCTACATAGCTGTGTCCCTACTGTTCTGCTGAAGTCAACAGATGGCCTCCCCGCCACTTCCTCTCGTTTCGCTGTGGGTTTGTTGTCAGGCCACTTCTGAAATTAATAGTGTTTTCTGGCCGGCTGCCACAGGCCATTACCACAAAGGGGAAGTAACACATCTGAATAGCAGGAAGCTGGGCAGGGTCACAGCGTGAACTGAACCTGTTGAGCGCAATCGAGCCTCTCCCGTTCAGCAAGTGTAGGGCTCCTCTCCCCCCTTGCTTTTTTTTTTTTCTTCTTTTTTGATAGGCCTTTCACAGGGAAAGGGTTGACACTGTATGCCTCAGCTGTTTGCACTGGGCAAATATTTCCGGCTGAATGAGTTGCAAATGTTAATGTGACTAGGTGCCCGTTAAGGTGAGGAGGTAAGGAGCAGCGTCCAGGGATGTAGCCAAGGGGAGGAGGGCCTTGGCTTTCTTTGCAAAAGCTGCTTTGAAAAGTTAGTGCACACAAGAGCTTCCTGCTTCCTTCCTGCTTCACCGAATGACTAACACCAAATGGGTACTTCTGCAATTCATCATTTTTGAGGACAAGCAAGCAAAGAAGACCAGCTTTGCTTACACATATGCATACAGCGGAGTCGGGCAGAAAACTTGTTCCAGTTTTTTCCTCGAGTGAGGCCTGAACCAGGGCTGTTAGTCAGAAACCTTGGTTGAACTTGTACCAGGACTGGGTGAGAACAACTTTGGTCACAGAACTAGAGCCAAACCAAAACCTATTTCAATCTCTAATTTTGCTGGGGGGGTTCTCGCTCACTTATGTGCTGCCTCTTTATTACAAGTGGTTTGAAGGGAAAGGCAGTGAGGGCTCTCAGCAGCAATGTTCGCCCTCCCTGCACAAGCTCCTGGGCTCATGCTACATGAGCACTTGCCAGCTTTTTGGGCCTGGCCTTTCCTTGTTCCCCCTCCACACCCCTCATCCAGTATGTGTTTCAAAATAACTTGCTTCCTCTCTCCCCTCTCTCGTTTGAGTCCGTGCTGGGATGGGGCAGAGGTCTTGGGCTTCTGGGAGCTTTGGCAACTTCTGTAGTTCCTCAGCTGGTAAAGTGATTTGTAAAGGGAAGAATAAATCCTTTGTGCCTGTAGGGGCAGGTCTGATGTGTGGAACGGGAAGGGGGAATATCCCCACTTTGCATGTGAAAAAATTTGTAACCTGCTTCATATTGTAGGAGTGTGAGGTAGTGAATTTCTTCAGAAGCTATGGAGATAGTAGGAAGGAAAACTGCCCTCAGGAGTAGTCAGAGCTTTATCACCTGACCCAGCTCTGTCTTTAACACAAAGGGTGAAACTGTGTCCTGTGGTATCCATGTCCCTTTTGCTCTGGAAGGGCCCAGGTTCCCCTCAGTGTTTGGATCCACGTTAGCACTTTTCTTTCCATTTTCTGTGCAATAACGCTGTGTAGTTAATTGTGCTGGTTCCCCTTCTTGCACTTCCTCTTTCTTGCTCACACCCTTTCAAACCACTTCATGACTACCTTCAACATGTTTTCGAGTTTTTTCTGGTTTGTTTGTTTGTTTGTTTGTTTGTTGTTGTAGCCATGATTTTCTCTTTCCCCCTTCTCTATCTTGTTCTTTTCTAGTGCTGCTTTTCCCTCTCTGCCTTCTGTTCTTCCACAGACCTTTCCTAAGCTCCATGGTCCTTCCTTACTTCTCTTTGGTTTTTCTTATGCTCTCTCTTTTCCTTGTTACTCCCTTGCAGTTTGTCTCACGTTTCCAAAATCAACTTCACTTTCTCCCAACATTAAGCCTCCTTGCTCTTCTTTGTTTTTACAGTGAAAACCAGGATGAGTCTCATGGCCTTGGTCAGTCCTATAGCTCAAATGAGCTATAGGAGCTGTAGGAAAGGTGTATATGAGAGGAAGACATAAGGAAATACCACTGCTGTCTTCTTGCCACTTCCTAGCAGCTGACCTTATTCCCCATCTCCATTCCCTGTCGCTGTGTAGATTTGACTCTGCATGGCTATTCTGGGTCCTCTCTACGCAGCACCCAGCACTCTGCTGCTGCTAACACGGAAGGCAGGCGTGAAGAAGCAGCTGTTCCTTGGGGCCCATCCAGCCTCACAGGGCACCGACCATCCTCTGAGGAGCAGGACAGGGCGAGGAAAGCAGGGATAGACTGAAAATATGGCCATCAAAGGCAGCTCTGCTAGCAAAACTGAAGCTAGGCTTGACAATCGTGTCTGGAGAGCATTTCTTCAGCTTCTCTGAAAAGCTTATCCAAAAACTTTTCTCTGTTGAGAAGCGTGATGACACTTTACTCAGAGCTCCAGGAAAAACAATTGCAGCTGAACATTTAAATGAGGCCCTCTCTCCACACTGCTATAAATCATCGAAAGCCTTGCCTGAGTGAAGACGGTGGAACAAATTGCTAAGCTCAGTTCAGTGCCCCCCTAGACCTTGAGTGTGCGTGATCAGCATTGCTTGGTTACCCCAGGAACACAAGTACGGGGCCAGACCCCTCCATCACGCAGCAGCGCATGTGAGCGACTCCTGGGACTCCAGGGAGATGCTGCATTGAAGGCAAGTGGCTGAGTTTGCTCCAAACCAAAGGAAAATAAAGGCTGCCCACTGGTGTTTTCTCATGGCATGTGTTGACACTGGGGTATAAAACTCTGCCCTTTCCTCCCCACCCCAACAGCTAGAAATGGACGGTGCTGCATCATGGGTCTCTTTTCTTCATTGCTGAATTTGAAAGATAAGCATGTGCTATAAATTAGTAATCTACTAAGTTAAACAGGCACAGGCAGAAAGCTGGTATGGGAGCTGCTCTCTTTTGAGTGAAGTGCTTGTCTCTGTAAGGAAAAGAAAAAAGCGTGTTAGATGCTTTCTGTTGTTTGTTATCGTAGGGATCTGCAAGAGCTGGGGGAATTTTGGAGTGCTCACAGCGCTTTTCCTCATAAGGCAAAGATGAAGGATGTTGACTTACCACAAACACAAGGAGATGATTATCAGATGGAAAGCAGGGGTATGGAGTCTCTTTAGGAAATATCTTAATGACAGAAGTTGCATTCAGGGCTAAATTTGAGAGATGCAACAGAAAGTGCGCCCTGCTCCGCTTCACAGCTGTGATCCCCAGGACGCAGGAAGTGTGCAGAAATGCTGGTGCTCTCCCATCCCTAGGCTGTTCCAGCACTGCAGACACCAGTGACATAAAATGACACTATGTGGGAGGTCTATTTGCTGTAATGTGGAGACCACGGTGAAGCACTTTGCTTGTTTTACCAGAGACACAAGTGTTTTGAAAAGTCCTGCTACCGAGATCTTCCACCTTCCCAAATGGGCAATGTCCTCGCTTAACCCCAAGAATTTTATTTAGACAAACTTTGCTCTTTTTCTGTTAAAGCTATGTTTTGGGGCATTACGGAAGTCTCTTTGTTCATCTTTTTTTTTTTCCCTCCTGACCTCAGCTCTGTAGGAAATAAATTCCCATCTGCAAGTGAAGCCATCTGAAAAACATATTGACACTTGGTTTACTCAGGGCAAAAAGTTCTGTGTAGTTTAAAGGTGGCATTTTTCCCCTTTGCTGGGAAGCAATGTCCTTACTAAAACAGACTGGAAGCACTAATATTTAGTGTTTGTGAAAGCACATTAGCTGGTCAGTCCGTAGGTTGGCTACTCAAACGAAGTAAATCAGCATAGCAGCAGAGACAACCATTGGAGACTCCACCATAGACTGGTGGTTGTCACGCTCTTGAGCCCCTTGAAGGCATTATATACCTCCATGTAGAGACCACTAGAGTTATTAGTGATTTTTGTAGGCATTTTTTCCTGCATACAGTAATATTTTAGGATTCTGAACTAG